ACCATCTTCAAAAACTTTCTCACCTTCTTTAGTTTGGTGCAACTGTTTGCAACAGGATCCTGAGAAAAGGCCATCAGAAGCAGTTTATTATCCCATGTATTCTTTAAACAGATGAAAGAGCAGAGTCAGGATTCAATACTTTGACTGCTACCTGCTGTTTATAACAAGTCATCAGTAGCAGTGCCTCCAGTGTTGCCTTGGACTGAGTCACGATGTCTTTTTCCTCAAGAAAAAGACTGGAACTGGGAATTCTAGGACTGCCAAGTCATCTTATGTCCTATATAACTGACATTCTCTCCTTGCTGCTTTTTTCTTCTATATTGTTGTTATGTGCCGCAGGGTTGCTTGCGACTCATAGCGACTCTATGTACAAGAGCCCTAAACACTGCTCTCTTCTGTGCCAACCTCACCATCTCCAACACACTCACTGCCACCACCCCAATCACAGAATCAATCTATCTCATCGAGGGTCTTCCTCTCCTGTGCCGTCCCTCCACTCTCCCAAACACGATGTCCTTCGCCAAGGACCAATCACTCCTTGCAACATTCCCAAAGTATGTCAGACAAAAGCTTCAGAATCCTAGGTACAAATACCAGAATTTTACTTAAAAATACAGTTGGTGCACTGGAGAACCTACCACTTTAATGCACTTCTATCCAGAGGGGCGTGAGCTTCTAGGCCACTCAGGTAGCTCAAAGTGCTCTCACAATTCTAAGGACACTACCAAACTGTTCGTGTCTTCTACTCTTGAATTTTTTTCCCCAAGCTGTGACTTACTCCTCTCTCAATTTTTCATTTTAACTCTGAGCCAGTTAATTTCTTGAACATTTTTCTGACTTCAAGTGAATGAACCCTCAGCTTCCAATACACATTTTTCTTCCAAATTCTCTTTGATCAGCTGTTGTTACACGACCAGGTTAGTTTATCTTGGTACCCTTTTCAGTAGACTGGAAAATGTTTCTAGTTCTTTACTTCTACTATTAATACTATAGTAACATCAAACTGAGCCTCACTCGCATTAAATGATTCACTTGAAATACAAAGGGAAGTTTTCTTTTTCTTTTTTTTTAAATGTTCTTTTTTAAAGGGGGGCTAGTTAAAGTCACACTTTTCTATGTATGCCATATAGCCTAAATTCATGCACCAAATGGGAACTTAATAATGACTTATTCCGTTGGGGGGAAAAAACCCTACAAAATCTAAATAAGGAGTTAATAATTAATGATAACAATCTGCTACTCCAATCTTCTGATACCCATCTAGTTGATAAAATATGATCTTGATGATCCATGAGGTCATTTAAAAACCTCAGAGTATAATTCACACACATACGGCAATTTTTCTCAATGTTTTTTTTCTTTTAACAAGTTGCAATAGACTTGAGAAAATGAGTTCAAGGCCTGGGCCACTTAGGGTCCTATGGGGACTGTCCAATTCCAGGAGGCACCATTCATATAGCTCTGACACCAATGGCACTCTCATTTTATTAATAAGGATATAAAAGATTAAATTATTCTACTCTAGGTCACAAAGAAAAATTAGTCAGAGGATCCAGATTTCTGAGGTTTATAACTATTTTAAAGAGCTCTGGTGGCCTAATGATAAGGAAAGGATCTGCAATGCCACCGCAAAGGCACAGTGTTTGAAGCCACCAGTTAGTTGTTCCTTGAAAGAAATATGGTATTCTCCTCCTTTGTGATTTACAACCTCTGAAAACCCACTGGATCGTCAGTTATGAGTCAGTTCTGACTCAACAGTGTGTAACAACCACTTTAGCCTTCCAATCTTAGTATCCAGTACATTAATTGTTCAGATTTCCAGAATAAGCTGAAAGTTAATGTTCAATCTCATTTATTCACCTAAGTAGCCATAAAAATAAAGTACCCATTTACAACTTTTTTTTCCATTTTATTTTATTCTTTTTATGTGTGCGTACCACCAAATCGGATCTGACTGGTATGGGAGATTGCACACATACACACACACCCCCGAGTCTCCAGCAGAGCAACTGGTGGATTAGAACTGTGTGCCTCTGGAATTGCAGTGTAGCTTCTTGCCACTAGACCACCAGAGCTCGCTTACAACTATACTTTCGAAACGCAGTCAACATCCTTCCCACCAATACCAACCAAGCTGTAGTCTTTACACTCCCTGCCCCAAGCCTAAAAGAAGTATCTTAATAAGTGTTCCTAAAGGGATGAGGGGAAAGCGAAAATAAAGGGAAGGAATGATAAGAAATAAAGAGAACTGAACAAATTTCAAAGGAAAGTTAAAGAAGACAAAGTAAAGCATTATAGTGAAATGTGAAAGGAGCTAGAGGTAGAAAACCTAAAGAGACGAGCACAGTCAGCATCAGGTTTAAAAAAACAAATTTAAGTCTCAAGTTGCAACACTGAAAGATTCTACAGAAAAAATCCTGATTGGTGGAGGAAGTATCAAAAAAAGATGGAAATCACTGTACCAAAAAAATTCGCTGACACTCAATCATATCCCAAAATAATACACAATTAGGAACCAACTGTACTAAAGGAAGACGTTCAAGCTGCACTGAAGGCACTGGCAAAAAAAATTAAGGCCCCAGGAACTGATGGAATATCAACTGAGGTTTTCAATCAAAACAAATGCAAGCCTGGAAATGCTCATCAGTCTCTGTCTAAACATATGAAAGCCACTGGCCAAATGAATAGAAGAGATTCATATCAGTTCACCCCAAAAAAGTGATTCAAAAGAAGGCACAAATTCTTGAACAATATCATTAATTTTACATGGAAATATAATATTGCGGATGGCTGGAACAGTCCATTGACAAAGGACTGCCAGAAATCCAAGCTGGGTTCAGAAGAAGTCATGGAATGAGGGCTATCACTGATGATGTCCGGTGAATAATTGCTGAAAGTAGATACTACCAGGGAGATATTTACCTGTGTTTTATTGATTATGTATAGTCACTTGACTATGTGAATTAAAATAAATTATGGCTAACATTGAGAAGAAAAGAACTCCTGAACTCTTAACTGTGCTTATGCAAAACCTATACACAAAGACCAAGGAGCTGCCTGCTGAACAGAACATGTGAACATCACATGGTTTAAAATCAGGAAAGGTGTGTGTTAAGATTGTATCCTTTCCCTATATCTATTCAATCTGTATATTAAGAAGTTGGACTATATGAAAAAGACTGTAGGATCGGGCTTAGAGGAAGATTCATGCACAATCTGTGTTATGCAGATAATATAGCTCTGCTTATAGAAAGTGAAGACGACTTGTAGTATGTGCACAAAATCAAGGACTATAGCCTTCAATATAGGTTGTATCTCAACACCAAGAAAACAAAAATCTTCAAATGGGGCAAATAAGCAACATTATGATAGAAGGATGGAGAAAAGATTAAAGCTGACAAAATATCTCATTTTACTTGGATCTACAAGCAACAGCTTGGTATAAACAGTCAAAAAATCAAAAGCTAGGGCCTTCCCTCCATATCTCCTTTGAAGGAGGATGGTCTGTCCCTTTGGAGATGTAACTTCCTAATAAATCTATCATTACTATTTTTTTTAGTGTGTGTGTGTGTGTGTGTGTGTGTGTGTGTGTGTGTGTGTACCGTCAAATCAGATCTGACTGGTACAAGAGGAGATTGCCCCTCCTTCCTCGGCAGAGCATCTGGTGGATTCGAACCGTGCGCCTCTAGGACTGCAGTGCAGCTCCTTGCCACTAGGCCACCAGAGCTCCCCTATCATTACTATTTATTTTATCCTCAAAAGAAATAAGAAGTTGTATTACACTTGAAAAATCCACTGTCGAAAACCTTGCCAAAGTGCTAAAGAGCAAGATGTCAGTTTAAGAACTAAAGTGCACTTGATGCAAGCTTTGGTATTTTCAGTTGGTTCCGATGCATCTGCAAGTTGGACAATGAATAAGAAGACTGAAGAATAATCTATGCCTTTGAATTTGTTGGCAAAGAGTACTGAGAGGACTACACATTGCCAGAAGAACAAATCTGTCTTGAAGGAAGTGCAATCAGAGTGCTCCTTTGAGGCAAGGATGGTGAAACTTCATCTCACTTACTTAGGGCTATTTCCAGGAGGAACCAGTCCTTGGAGAGAGACATCACGCTAGGAAAGGAATGACACAGTGACTGTGGCAATGGTCTTAGTATTCAAGGTTCAAATCTGTTGTCCACAGGATTAGCTAAGCGTTTTAATCGACTTGACAGTATCTAACAACACTAGGACTTGGGGAAAAACTGCTGTCAAGGAGCTCTCCAAAGTAGCTAGGATGTCAGTTTAAGGATTAAAGTGCGTGCCTGATTCCAAGTCATGCTATTTTCAATTGCTTCCTATGGATCTCCAAGTTGAACAATGGATAAGGATGACTGAAGAACCGATGTCTTTGAATGGTGGTGTTGGAGAAGAATACTGACTATCCCAGAGACTCACAAAAGAACAAACAAGTCTGTTTTGATAGAAGGGCAATCAGGGTGCTCCTTAGAGGCAAGGATGGTGAAACTTTGCCTCACGTTCTTTAGGCATGTTGTCAGATTGGACCATGCCTAGGAAAAAGACATTATGTTGGGAAAGGTGAAGGGTCACAGAAAGAGACTCTCACATAGAAACTCACACAGTGGCTGTAACAATGGGCAAGGGTCCCAACTGTTGTGCATAGGGTCAGTAGAGTGGTAGTCAACTGGGTGACACTAACAACAAAGGGACATGGGATCACCACGAGTCTAAAATGACTCAAGGGTAATTTTTTTTAAGTGGAAGAAGACCTCAAATACACTCAGTCTTCCACTGATTAACAGGTATCTGCTCTAAAAGAGGTATATCTAGGTCAAACATGAATGGAAAAGGAGCAAAAATTTAAAAGGAGGGAAAAAATAAGATGAAAGAAGAAGAGTGCAAAGGGTTTTATAAACTTCCAAAATTTTCATTCAAGCTCTAATACTGTACAAAAATAGAAAAAAAACCTGAAGAATACTTATGAAATGATAAAAGCATACCTATGTGAAGAATAATCCTTGGCATCGATAGTATTCCTTGGATTTATCTGCTGAGATACTGATGGATCCTTAAGCATTTCCAGTCGCTGCTGTAGTTTCATGCTACTTCGACCAAGTTCTTGAACCAAACTTTCAAGCTGCCGGTGTATGTTCCAATGCCTTCTCAACTCAATTTCATATGCTAAATGTAAAAGTTCAAATGATGCCTTTTGCTTAATCAACTGATTTAAAACCAACTCTTGTTTTGCTGTGTAATAGTCTTGCTTAGCAATCTGCAGATCAAAATCCCCCTTTACAACTGGCATATTCAGTAACTGTGCATTCTCTTTTACTACAGCAGGCAAACTTTCATTTTTCATATGAGTGATTTGTTCTTCAAGCTTCTGAATCTCACTGTTCAAGCTTGAAATTTTAGCATCCAAATTTTCTTTCCCAACTGCCTAAAGAAAGAAAAGCAATTACATTTCAAACTACAGGTATAAAGTTGAGACATTTTAAAAATTATTTTCACTGTTCATTTTAGGTGATTATAGAATATACTCAATGAAAACTGGCATAATAAATTTATTTTATATAACTGTCAGTCAAAATATTACAAAGTGTTTTCTACGAAGACAGCGCCAAAAGCAAAGAAAGAAGCCCCTGCCCCTCCCAAAACTGAAGCCAAAGCAAAGGCATTAAAGGCCAAGAAGCCAGTCCTGAAGGGCGTCCACGGTCAAAAAAGGAGAGAAGAAAAAAAAAGATCCACACATCACCCACCTTCCGGCAGCCTAAGACAGTGAGACTCAGAAGGCAGCCCAAATACCCCTGGAAGAGTGCCCCCAGGAGAAACAAGCTTGACCACTATGCCATCATCAAATTTCCCCTGACCACTGAGTCAGCCATGAAGAAGATAAAAGATAACAACACACTTGACTAGTTCATTGTGGATGTCAAGGCCAACAAGCATCAAATTAAACAAGCTGTAAAGAAGCTCTATGACACTGATGTGGCCAAGGTCAACACTTTGATTAGTTCTGATGGAGAGAAGGCGGCCTATGTTCGACTTGCTCCTGACTATGATGCTTTGGATGTTGCCAACAAAATTGGGATCATCTAAACTGAGTCCAGCTAGCTAATTCTAAATACAAATTTTTCTCACCATTTAAAAAAAAAATTAGAAAGTAAATGTTCTGTTAAGTACACTTTCAAGTCAAGGAAAAATATGGGCTAAGTCAAGAGTAAGACCAGAGGAAACTATTAAATTTCTATATCAGCATAAACTCAGAGTTCTGGTGACCTAGTGGATAAGGATTTGCACTGCCAACTCAAAGACAAGCAGTTCAAATCCACTGGCTATTTGGAGGGGGGAAAAAAGACAAATTCACCCCCCTCCATGCAATGTACAGCCTCTGAAAACCTACTAGAGGGTCAATTATGACTTGGTTCCAATTGAATGGCAATGAGTTGTTAATTATCACACATACGAGTGTTCTGGTGGTGTAGTCTCTGGGGGGGTTGTGCTGAAATCTAAAGGCCATACTTGTCTGGTGGTCGAAATCTAACAGCAGACCCATGGGAGGAAGATAGGTAATCTCCAAAGTGATTTACAGCCTCTTAAACGCAAAGGGAGCTCTGGTGACCTAGTGGGAAGAAGCTGTACTGCAATCCTGAAGGCACCTGATTTGAATCCACTAGCTACTCTGTGGGAGAAGGATGGGCAATGTCCTCCAGTATGATTTACTGACTGAAAACCCACTGGAGGGTCAGCTATAGGTCAGTTCCGACTTAACAGTGCACGACAACACACTCAATGGATGGAGGTTCCACTCGAAGTTGATTTTGGCTCACTGGCAATGAGAGAGTGAATGATTATCATATATAAAAATTCCTGGGTGGTATAAGTGGTTGGCAGTTCTAACCTACTCAGTAGGCCACAGAAGAAAGGCCTGGTGACTTCACTAAAAATCAGAGCCAGGAAAATCCCGTAGAGCACTTCTACTCTGTACCACGAGGGTTACGACAAGTCAGTGACCACTTGACAACTGTTTAATTTTTTTAACTACACATATACATACATGTATAACACACAGTTAAATAATGGCTAATACTGACAGACCCTGACCTGTTTAATTAACACAAATAATTAGCACACAAGTCAACAAATGCACAGGTATGTTAGTTAGGCTTTTCTTCAAGATACAATTCGCCCATCAGTTACTCTTTTTGTGAGTTGGCTTTAGCACTTCAGCAGAATTATGGGACTCCTTACGTTCATCCAAGGCCGGGTCAGTTAAAGAGCAACTAACTTGGAACTCATGTTCAGTTTCAGAATAAGTTTTATTTCTATTAATCATCTCCTGGATACACAGCCAAGAAAACAACCTTTCCAATCCATTTACTGGCAAAGCATCTACATATTCTCAACTAGGAATCAGGATTCCAGCTCACCAAACGTGGATCTCTGACTTCATTAGCACCAAGTTCCAATCAGAGAAAATAAGGAAAATACCGGCAGCACAGCATAAAGTCCCTTTATCCAATTATTAGCTTTAAAGTAAATTTGTTAACTCTGCATCCAAATTAACATAAATTTAAAATTCATATAAATTTAAAATTCAGAATGAAAACTGAAGTGCTTTTCTGAAAATTAACAAAGTAATCTGGGGTTCGGGTTTAACTTCTATTTCTGCCCTCCATTCAAACTGAGGATCTGTTTGTATGAAACATTGACACCAATCACAATTAAGTACTGAAAAAGAAAAGAGAGTGTAATGACGTCTGTTCTCCTTTCAAATGCACACATATGAATAGTGATCCTGTACCCTATATTCCTCACAGCAAATGCAGTAGGAATCCATGTCATTTCTTGGGCTTACCTTGCTGGTTAGGATGTGGAGGTTCTCCTGTGCCCACTTTATACTTGACTTCATGCTCAGGTTACTTGTTTTCAAGTGAATTAGCTGATGCTGAGTACAAGCATAGGCCAGCTGTAGCCTAGCCATCTCTAGTCGTCTCTCCTCAACAATTTCGTGATTATCACAAATAGATGGTGCCTGTATATCTAAGAGCTGAAAATTTTCCTCATTTGAACTTTCAACTACTTCATGTATACCCTGAAAGAACTGTTTTTTCGTATATAAGGTTAAGGCTGCTGTGCTTTGCTCTTCCTGGTTTATATATTTTTCCAAGGAAAACTGAGATAAAAAAACCCGTGGATTCACTCCTTGTCCTAAATTAGAGGGTCTGTAGAAGGTCATCAGTTTTGCAACACTATCCATTATGGCCCGAAGTTCATTACTGATTTTAGCATGAACGGCATTCAGAATTCCTTGACTCTGCTTCAGCTTTTTAGTGGCCTCCTCTTCTTTAGCACTTAGCCTCAAAGATCTGTGGCCGATTACTGAAGCCGTCAACTGGCATTTGTTCCGACGCTGGATCTTTAGGTTCTTTAATTTCTGCAGCATTTTAACTTCTTCTTCTAATTTCTCTAGCTCTTTGTCATCCACGGTATACGTCCTTAAATCGGAAGTTTTACAGGTTTGAAGAACTTCACCCAGTGCCTCATCTTCGAGGATAGGCTTGCCTGATTTTTTAAGAACACTGAAAGCCTGCAATTCTTTTTCAGACAGCACATTCTGCTCGCTCACATTCCCACAAAACCACTTCAAAAAGGATTCATCTTCAGCAGTTTCAAACAACCAGTCAAAATCTTCTCCATTTAGAGTATCGGCCTTGGGATAACCAATTTTTTTTAATGTTTCCACAAACTCATTTCCACAACTCATGGCTTAACTATGAAGGTTTAAAAAAAATTGCTGATATAAATTTATAGCGTTGAATATTAGAGCATAAGTCCAAATACGTTAATCCATAGAGAAAGGAAAAGATCTATTTTAGAATTTTAATTATTTTACCTAGGAGAGAAAAAAGAAAACATTATTAGGCAACAAATAAAGGCACTGCATTTTTTTAAAAGAAAGATGAAAACTAATGTCACATGATATTAGGAAACCACCTAAAAGAAATGTTTGCTTAACAGTTAAGGTATCACTTAGTACTCTACAACACTAATGAAACCTAAGAAAATTTTTTTCCAGAGACAAACTGGTATAGAACTGTAGTTCAGCTTTTAATTCAGTATAATTATGAATTCAACAAATTCCAACCCATCAGGTGGCTAAGTAGCTTATCTACCCTATCCTAAGAAAGAATATAAAGAAAAATTCAAACCTTGAGGTGCAATACTGAAAGAGATACTATGAGCAAAATCATGAGTGATCCAGGAAAAAAAATCACAAAAGACTGAAAAATTACACAGAGCCACCGTACAAAAGGAATTTGCTGACACTGAAAACTTTCAGGAAGTAACATACGAACAAGAGTCAAGGGTAGTAAAAAAGAAATTCAAGCTGCACTGAAGGCTTTGGCAAAAAATAAGGCCCAGGAATTGATGGAATACCAAGCGGTATGTTTCAACTAACAGATACAGCCCTACATGTGCTCACCAGTCTATGTCAGGAAATTTGGAGGACAGCTGTTTGGCCCACTGACCTGAAGAGATTCTTATTTATTCCCATTCCCAAGAAAGATGATCCAACAGAATGTAGAAATTACTGAACATACCATTAATATCTGTTCTGCATATAGGTTGAAAAGGTATGGAGATAGGATGCATCCCTGG